TAAGGCACTCGCGACCGCATGTTCTACAGCACCATGCGCTGGATGTCGATGGAGTACAATTCATTGGTGCTTGCAGCTTCTCCTCTGCATGCATGAGGGCTTTCTCCCGCACTTCAGCAACTGCCTTCGTGGTATATATATATATATATATATATATATATATATATCGCGCTCAGTTACCTTTGGAGTCATTCATTCATTACACACGTCAGCTAGAGGTGGAAAAAAAACCTCCGCTATTTTGCCGCAATACGTGAAGGAAATACATACATACATATAATGTAATACACAAATGAAAAATAGATACAACAGTTGCATGCCAGCTGAGCTACCAGCAACGGATAGGCATCGTTCCGGTAAGCTACCAGCCAGCTAATAGGCAAAAAGAAAAAAATATTGTTTTACCCTACGAAATGAGATTGTAGATGGAGGGGAGGCTAAAAGGGCTGGGGAGGGACAAAGAAACTCACAGCAGGAACGCCACTGAGGTCGGCTCCTTGCCATATCAGCAAATGTATCCAGCCAAACGTGTTCACCGTTTTTTGGACCCCAACCAGGGAACCATGACGCTCCAACCGAGGCTAGCTCGGAAGTGAGGGACTTCATTCCCCTGGACCAAGTGATCGCTTGGCCTCCTCTCCTCTTCTTCCACCCACATCCCCGGTGAGCAAACAAAGCACGTCGAGGGAGTCGGTAAGCTGGCATGCGTAACACGTGGCCGAGGGAAAGCTTGAGCAGTAGCATCCAAACTCCTATCCACTCTGCTCTATGCAGCAGATAGGGCACCGTTGATTATCCTCTGCGGTGGCCAGAGCATCAGCAATTTGTTTGAAGTAAGATTCATAGTATTGCGTGGGCAGGATACTGTCAGGTTGCCCAGGCCTAGACTGGAGAACCATTAAGGTTCTCAACCGAAGCCTTTGGTTCAAAAACCTGACCGCAAGGCAGCGGGTTTGGCGTTGGGCTACAGGGAGTCCGTTTTAAGGAATAAAGTGCCACCCTCATTCCAACCCCCAACCTTGAGGACCAGGAGGCTGAGTTTGTCTGGCCTCTAACCATTGACCATTCTGGTATGAGTGACTCTGAAAGTGCAAAAGCGCCACCCAGCATAGCTCAATGGATCGCTGAGGTACACAAACCATCGCACCACGGTAAGGTCCAGCCTCATTACGATGGTACCTTTGGAGTAATTGCGTCCAAAACTGCCGTTCAATTTGGAGCACGAGCGTGGAGTCTGATCACGCACTCGTTTGTGCCGATCTTTGGTGGGCGCTTGCGGCGCCGCTGTAGGCGTATAGATACTTACCAGCTGGCGTAGCCAGATCTTCGGAATGCGTATCATGGTACGCAGGTATGCAGCTTTTGTAACCGCTCACTGAACACTGTTGAAGATCAGTGCTCCCATTTCTGTCAGGTGTTGTTCGCAGCAGACATATTTTCCTGTGGCAAATCAGATTACCATCCTGCATATTGGGTCACTACTCAGTTTCTAGGACTTATAGACGCTCGCTGATGCATTCTAGCCGGAAGTAAAAATCAAGTCGAAACTGCGGTCTAGCCTGAAGGGAGACCGCGAACCCTGGGGTTCTCATCGTGCATGGAAATTGAGACAGCTGCTGTTCTTGGTAACCGTCGGATACTTGTGACGGACAGCAGGAGGCTTGGGATTAGCTAAACTATATGCAACGAGAGTCTACAGTCAGACCATAGCTTGTTAAAGCGCTTTAAGCGTTGGCTTGAACTCTTTGCAAAGCACTTTAATCAACCTGAGTTATCACTCTTTCTCGGGTATTGATTGCCCTTTTCCTTGAGCCGTCCCCTTTGATCCGCCTTCCCGCGCGAAAGTCAAATGTGGGATCATACTGTTAACAAGGCTGCTGGGGCAGATAGACTTTCCCTAGCACTGTTCATTTTCGGGGGGTCTGCTTTCTAGATAATTACGCAACTTACTTGTGAAGCTGTGGAAGCAAGAAACTGTTCCAGCAGACTGGATCCGCTCCATTATAGTCCAAATTTTTAAAGGAGGCTCACGTACTGAATGCGGCATTCATAGATGGATCAGTTTGCTCTCAGTTACTTCTACTTTATATTATTCCTAAATAGCAGGATTTTAGTTGTAATTTTGTTGAGGTTTTCATCCCAGTAGTTCACAAGCTACATAGCACAGCCTAGTCCGGAAAAGCACCGGACGCACTGACGAGCCCCAATAGGGCGAAACGCGTCTGGTGCTTTTCCGGACTGGGCTGTGCTATGTAGCCTGTGAACTACTGGGATGAAAACCTCAACCAAATTGCTTCTAATTTGTTTGCCTCTGTCGTGCTCCATAGACTGACTGCCACTCGTGAAAGTCAACTTCGCGAGGAGCAAGCTGGATTTCGCCGAAATCGAGGCTATGTTGAAACACTACCGCGTTGCCCACCGTGACCCGGTAGCCAAAGGGGTAGTGGTGTGGGCTACTATTCCAGTGGTCGCGGGATCGAGGCCTGCTGTCTCCACCTGATGAGATGAAATTACATCGAAACGCGTCGTGGTTGTTCAGTGTTTTCGGGTGGGCAACACCCAATTTCCATCTACTTTGAATACGGTCCCAGTGATCGCAGTGACTAAGGTTCATTTCAATGTGAATCACAGTCCATTACATTGAGGTTGCGTGTCGCAATCCAATCACTCAACGTGTAGTCCAAACTTGACCCTCCAATATGTATGTATACTTTATTTTTGTGCTTGATCTGTAATTTTTATCTTATCTATTTTGTACTGCGGCGCATTAACTGTGGTGTCTCATCCTCAGCTAACGTGTACTGCTGATGATGACGACGATGATGATAATGTTGATGATGACCTTGATGATTATGATATTGAATGGTGCGATGTAGCAAAACATGGTACTCTCGTGGGCATGATTGTTAATAATTCTGCGGTAGGAGGAGCACGACTACATTTGAGAGCCTCTCTGTACCTTGAGTACGCCTTTCGTCTTAAACCATTTGCCTGTCATCACCTTTGGAACACTGCTGCTCATGCTCCTCACATGCATTCATGCTTTGGTTGCCGTTAGTTCGCCTGTCCGGGTGAAACTTTAAGTAGTCGGCGAATTACCTGGTAATAAAGACAACCTACTGAGAGAGAGTCGGTTCATTGTATGCCTTCTCCGATGACATTTTCGAGGTTGGCTACACTATCTTTTATCTGTCATGTCGGCTATGACACATTTGCGGATTACCTGCCGCTGTTGGCTTTTCTTCCCCTCTCGCTCGACAATATTGCCTCTGTTCTCCTTATTGTACTTTTTCCTTCCCCCTTTCCCTTCGTTTGTGTTCATTGTTAATTTGTTTTTGGACGGTTTTATTCAGTGCACTGGTCGTGGTTGAACAACTGAGACAAGCTAACCATGCTTACAAGACAAGGTCACTGATTCGCACTAAAGTTGTGAACCAAACGATGTGGGGCACTGCACTGTCTACAGCGAACTATAAGTTCTGTACCAATTGGATGGCGAACAGTAAGATTTCCCTTACCGAGTATACATGTATTGTCAGTTGAACATTAATAACAATTTGAAAAGCACACAAAGAAGACGAAGGCTGGTAGATGCATGCACTTCGTATTGTCTCCTCAGTACCATTAAAAATAACAGATATGCATATATATAGGTAACAGTGGGTGTAACCAGACAGCCTTAAGGTGCAGAACGAATGAAGAAAGTTCGCACCTACGTCCAAGGCAGCTTTAGGCTGACAAATAATTGTTTTTGAACACACAAAGCTGGTTGAATCCGGCTTATAGAGACAGCCTCAGTAAACTGAAGGAAGCGGGGTTTAATGTGACGTAAAGCAACTTTAAACGCTGAGCCCAGCTCTTTCCGGTGCCTCGAGTCTACTAGGTGTTTGCCTATCGCTGACTTGCCGAATATAGAAACATGTGCCAAGATGGGTTCAATGTGAACTTGCTCAGAGTGCATACCCTCGTCAGATTCCATGTTCGCGCAGACCGCCGGCTTCCTCGATAGACAAACACCTATTTAGACTCGGGTCACCGGATAGAGCTGGGCTCAGCGTTTAAAGTTGCGCTATGTCACACTAATCCCCGCTTCCTTCGGTTTGCTGAAGCCCTCGCTATGAACCGGATTAAGCCGGCCTTGTGTGTTCAAAAACAATTATTTGTCAGCCTAAAGCTGCCTTGGACGTAGGTGTGAACATTCCTCATTCGTTCCGCACCCTAAGCTTATCTGATTGCACCCACTGTTAGCTATATCTATGCATATCGGTTATTGTTAATGGTACTGAGGAGACAATACGAAATGCATGCATCTACCAGCTTTCGTCTTCGTTCTGTACTTTTGAAATTGAACATTACCTCGGTAGCTATTTTGCAACCGTAAATACACGTGGCTGAATATGTCTGATTAGTCTCCACACATCAAAGACCTCGCGTCTAGTATTCGAGAAATATTATCAGCCCCTTTCGCAATTTACTTTCATTGCATAAGTTTGTAATCACTACGTTGCTGTGTTCGGGTTTTTTTAATAGTGCCCTTAGTTTTTCTGTGAACGACTTAACTTCTCTCCTTTCTTTGCATTCCATTCTTCCGCCTCGTTTACCACCAGCAATTGTTACTTCGTCGCAATGTGGTTGTGCTGATCCGTAGCCTAAAGGATCACAGACTTGTATTGTAATCCGAGTCTGTGGGTTCGAACTTGCGTAGGGTACTGGACGACCCTCACATTATCCTAAGTCCACGTGTGACTGTTGGTGGTTGCGCGACAGCGAAGCAACGGTACTGCGTACCGGCGTACTGTTAATACCTGTGCCATCCATTCGTGTAGACCGATTTCTCAGAGTCACGAGCTACTGATCAGCTGCTGACGAGTTTGAACATGGGGTGTGGGCTGAACGAACACATGGAATTTGCACGTTTATTGCTGCATGTGTTTTATCTATTATGCCTCTTTATTTCAGATATGCTTAGCACCTTATTCTGCATGCTTTTATCTTTTTAGCCTGTTTCGGGCTGCATAAAGCCTTCGTGAATCACGGTGTGCCCCTTGAAGTGCTCAACTCTGCAGTGCATTCAGTATACTTCATGAACGGCTCTGGTGCCACATGGCAACTTCATCTGTGTGATCCAGCTAGTGTTGCATGTGAAGAGCTACTTGAATATGATATCGTGTGCGGTCGTTGCTTCCCTTGTGATCCTAAACCAAGGCACTGCAGTTGCGAAACCCGGATAATAAAACCAAGAAGTCGCTCGGAAGATAACCGATGCTGGCGCAAGCAGCAGCTGTCTGCTTGTTCATCCGGGAGCGATCTCAGTTTCAGTGGTTTTCATCCAGGCTCCTGTTGCAACAGCGGATTTTGTTCGACCAATTCGGTTTGTCCCTTGTCAAAATCATCTGGTTTTGCCTGCGGCGATACTTCTTTTACTGGTATTACTTTATACTGTTCATTTTGGTGGTAAAACTATTCGCTAAGGCTGGCGGTTTCGTTGCAAGCAGTTTCATCTTCAATCTAGTTGAAAGCGTCAGTGCGCACAGCTGATGTCACCACAATTGACGGCGAAGCTCAGCTGAACAGCGGGAGCTATCAACAGCTGGATATATCTTTGGTTTTCCCATGCAACTTTATTTTCTTATAGCCTATTGTTGTCATTATGTTTTTTACTCTTAACAATTCTATTTGTTCTCTAAATGAACTTTCATGCTTTCTCAACCCATTATTATTGACTTGTTATACATTAGCACCGTGTCTCAATCATCGCTTACGCTGAGTTGTTGTCACCATCGAGATTGTGGCTGCTTCCTCGTTGCATGGCCATCCTTATCGTAAGCGCTCTAGGTAGAGGTCACACAAGGTGTAGAAAAGAAGCGGGAATGAAACAATGAAGGCTCTTTCGTCTCGCTGGTATCTTATAAATGTGACTCAGTTGCAAACGGCTGCTGATAATAATTTAAAAAATCTAGTCTATCCACTCTGGGCTTTCAACCATTCTTGACTTCCACTTAGACGAAGAACAGGAAAACAAAGGCGTCAGCAGTGCGCTGATGCAATACACCAACTCTTCGCTGTCACGCTATCGCTACTATTCGTGTGCGGTCTAGGTTTACTGTGAGACCGTGAGAAATGCTGCAGCGGATTCACGATTTTGTTACCTCTGAACATTCCAAACTTTTATTCACACGTTCATCCTTTTCTGAATACACACGCTGGGATGAAGTCTTCACTCTCCGTAAACTGCTTGTATATGGCCACTTCCACCCAAAGTCTACCACCGTCACTTTTGTATCTTTGTTGATTTTGTTTTTGCCGTCAGACTTGCTTTGTGGCGTTGCTCATTGATGAAAGGAGTCCACACGAAGCATATGACCGTCCCTCGTGCGTTATTTGTCTGATTATCGGACAGAATAAGCGTCTGTCGCAAACAATGCATCCTTCGCGGTCACAAACAGTGTACGACGCTAGTGTTATATCCCTATTCTGTTTCCAATTTGCAAGATATGCGCAGAGATCCTTTTCCGGGTACTCGGGCTAACAACTTCGGTTATGCTGATACTATCGCCCGACCTGATGAAGACCCCCGAAATATACCACTCCTTTTCGACTCATATGGTGATCAGATTACCTCATAATGCAAATACTGCTCCATGAATGGCACAGCTGAAGGTATACAGCTTGAACGGGTGAATAGTTTTATGTACATAGGCGATGTTTTAATGGAGGCATCACTTCGTATGGCCAAAGCTAAGTCAGCTTTTATCAATCTATCACATTTGTGAATTCGTTGGTGCGTGTCTCCCTTGTTGCTGGGCGGGATTTCCAACGCCACTGTCCACCTCGTCGCCGGCTCGAACGGATGTCGTGCACTGGCTTTCAACCATTGGCAATAGCTGCTTATGGGGGAGGGTCTGTGTGTGGTGGCGATACCGGGTTTGCAGCGACAAACGTATCTTTTTGGATGGTTGGAATATCCATTCCAGTAGACAGTTGAGATGATTCAATTATCATCTTACGCATAGCGCAAGGAAGTTCACGGCATCGTGATGATGGTCGCATAATAAGCCAGATGGCTTACATATTAATCCGATCCCGGTGGATATCCTCCATCGATGACTGTCGAGCGTACAGAGGGCCTGAAACGGGCAATACAGGTTGTTCGGACCAGGTACTCCTGCGCGCCATAATCAGACTCCGCTTGTCAACGCGCCGGAAGACCCTTCCACCAAGGCGTATCAACACAGCCCCACTGGAAAATACTGAGTGATGCCGATCCCTTGAGGCCGCAATAGAAGCGGAAATTTCTGCCAATCCACCACGCCTCGTACTTGCAGAAGATGAATCTGTCGACGCTCGGTGGTCTAGGTTAGAATCGTCAGTTCAACCTGCTGTTTTGTCTACCCTGGGATCTACTTCTAAACCTGTGAAGAACTGGATCACTGAAGATACCATCCGCTTGTCCGCTAAAGCGAGAGAAACTCCTCTCCCGAATTCCTCAGACTACAGTCGCTTGAGACGTGAAGCAACCCGCTTAACACCGAATGATCAAAACCGCTACTGGTCTGTTATCGCAGGCAACATGGTAACAGCACCAAACTCTTGCAATCTAGGCCATCTTTTTCGTTTGGCTTCTGGCAACCGCTATTCAACACAGCCGATACTGCGCAGTTCGGAAGGACAAATCATCCCCGATACGGAAGGAAAACTTTTCAGCTTTGTAGAGTATTTTAGCAATCTCCTAAACCGCCCACTGCACGCAACCGCACTCATTCCAGTATTAACCCAGTCAAGATATGGCGCGGATTGCTCACTACAATCTCCCAGACATTGCAGATACCGTTCGCCGCCTGAAACCGAAGAGAGTTCTTGGAGTGGACGGGATGCCAGCGGAAATCTACAAATCTTGTCTACCAAATCTCCTTGACCATTTGCACGGGCTCTTCTGCCTGATATGTGAGGCCGAAATCCATCCTCTTGGGGTACCTCAGTACTACTGCCACTTCCCAAGAAAGATGACCGAACTGTGTGCAGTAATTATCGCGGGATTAGCCTAATCGATGTGGCTGCCAAAACCTTCGCACGAATCTTGCTTTCCCGCATTGCCAATGAGAGGAATCTGCGAATTCGCCGTAATCAATGTGGTTTTCATCCAGGCAGAGGCTGCACTGACCAAATCTTTCCTCTACCTCGGGTACTCGAACGACGCTACCATTTTCAACAGTCCACGTTAGTGTTCTTCGTTGATTTTCTTGCTGCCTTTGAATGAGTTGACCGTTTAGCACTCTGGAGAATCCTAATTGCCGATGATATACCGGTTAAACTTGTTAACTTGAAGTGATCATACTACCGTTGCACGAAGCCCCGGATTCGGGTCTATGGAGAAGTAGCAGAGGAACTCGACCTCAATATTGAAGTCCGGCAGGGTTGCCCACTTTCTCCACTGCTGTTCAACTTTGCAGTCGACTGGGTTATGCATCATGCCTTTGAGGGCCCTGGTGGTGTTCATGTTAGTCCTGACTTCTGGCTGTCAGAGCTAGAATTTGCTGACGATATCGCTATCCTTGCAGAAACCGCACTATCAATACCGACACTGCTAAATCGGATCGACCAATTAGCCTCTATGATCGACCTCGAAAGTAACATCAGCAAGACGAAGTCGTCAGCCACCCAGTCCGCCCCGTCGCTCTCCTTGCATGGACAATTCATCGAGTCTGTTCCTAAATCCGGAATTCTATTGATAGCGCTAGGACAACATTCTTACAACTGATAAGCACGTTGTGACGAAAGACTGAAATTGGTCTGTGGACAAAAGTTCGTGTATTCTCAGCAACCGTTCGTGCCATTTTATTCTATGGTTGTGAAACATGGCCGCTGCGATCCGGTGACACCCGGAAGCTGGAAGTCTTCGACCATTGGGGTCTAAGGCTTACCTTGAAAACACAGTGGCATGAGCGTATCGTCAACGACGAAATCCGTAAGCGTTGTTACGTTATTCCGAAGCTCTCAGTGCTCATTCAGCGTTGCAGACTCCAGTGGTTCGGTCACGTCCTCCTCTGGCCAGTCACTGACTTTAATAGGGCCGTGGTTTCACCCTCGCATTGCCAGGGTTGGTGTCGTCGCCGTGGTGGACAATTGAAATTTTGGCTAGCTGCAGTGAATTCGGATGTCGATCTTCTGGGGTGCATGGTGCTCGTCAATAGAGAATTCATTCGATCAGTATTTGCGTGGAGCTTGCCGCCGACCGCAGCGCTTGGGCAGCTGCAATCCGCGACATTCATGAAGCCGGCTCATGCTGTCTCAGGAGCTAGCCGCATCAAAATTAAGTTAGTCGTGATTTATTTGCTCTCATAGGATCACGCTGGAAGGGAGTCCGTGATGACTCATCCTTCACTTGGTGAGGAGGCGTAAAAATGCTACCTTCTCGTTTGGTCGTCGTTAATATCCATGATTTTCTTGGTTTTGGATCCAGGACCGGAGACGACCGTTGAGTCGAAACACTGGTTAACTGAAGGCCTTATGTACGGATTTGCTGGAACTCAAGTATTCGGTTCTTGGTCCTTAAAAACGACAATAATAAAAAGCCAATCCATAACAAGTAATGCATATAATTCCATTTTTCACGAAATTTTTCCCATTTGCTCCCTTCTCCCTGTCTGACTTTTCGTTACCTTCATTTGGTCTTGCGTTGCTACAGTAAACTATAGCCATGGATTGGTCTTTATTAATGACACCTAGTACAATCTGGTTTTGATTATTGTTGTTACACATGATCTTATTCGGACCACTTCAATGGGAGCTGTTTGCAAAATCGACTTTATTTGCTTGTTTATATTTAGTTTTCAATGCGCGGTAATCTTATACTACTATGTACAACTGCGGCTTCGTATATCCTCTTATTCTCGGCAGCTTCTTGTTTTTCCTCCAATTTCAATGGTTTTGCGCTTTTCTGCTTATTGTTTCCACTGGCTTTAATATGCAATATACCCTTTCTTTCACTTCATTTACTGTTTTCGATTTCAAAGCATAATCAGGGCGTTTCAAAATCGCCTGTCTCACTACCATCCTTGTTCTGGTTGGATTTGTACAGTGAACACGATCTTTTGTTTCCCGTGGTCATAATACTGACTCCATGATCTTTTCACAGGGTTCTTGTTTCATGGATGACGATGTCACTGCGAAAGTGCCCGATCCGGACGTTACACAAGGTCTGTATTCTCCATCTCTTCCTCCGCCTATGCGCACCATCCATCTCAATCTACCCGGCTTTCAAAATCTTGAATCAGATTCATCTGGGTCGTTAAAACGCACTGGTCACCTTCCAACTAGTCCATTCAGGACGGAAAATTATCACGATCTCGTATGGGTGTCCGTACCATCTGCAACTACCTCTTCAACTACCCCAAACGCCGGTGCAATCAGCGTTCTCTCCGATTGTACATCCAATTCGTTATATGCAACCCGATCTTCGAGGGAATTCCGCACTTCCTCTCGTTTGCGCCCCCCAGTTAAGTCTCCGACACTTGATGTCTCGGCTCGCGATTCCGGCCTGAGTTCGCATTCGAGCAGTTCCACATGCTTTTATGGTTCTGTACACAATGTCACAACCGGTGAACCCAGTGAATCCTCTTCCTATTCAGTGTCACCAACTCCGCCTCCTGTCCCTCCACATGCTCCAAAATCTCGTGCTGCCACCGCTACTGCATCGCCGTCGGACCCATCCAGTCTATTGAAAAAGGGTAAACAACTCAAGCGTTTTATTTTCCCTTCATTTCCTATTTTAACCAATAAGTATTACGCTAAGTATGCTGCTCTTTTCAAATAAACTCGGTGCATTGCTTCTGAGTTGTAATTAAAGGTTTCCATTTAGGTATGCGAAATTTCATATGGGATATTTGTTTGAAACCAGTGTGAAACATTACTACGCATATTTTTTGACATTTTTTGTATACTATTGTGTGAATGAGAACAGAAGTGTCCTAGCGATTTTGGTAAAGGTCGAATCAGTGAACGTCTGGCACGTTTTCACTCAATTATAGTAATCAAGCTTCCGTGCTAAACTAACTGCTTGAACATTGTGATGCATACAGAAGATCCACCCCAGTCATGCTTCTCGACTTGTAGACCACCTCTGACTCAGTTTCTCGTTCCGGCAAATGGTCTCGTCGCTTGTCATTGAAGAGCATGTCTTCGAGCCCAAAGTCTGCTGCAACACCTGAGGCCACCGGGGACTCATCTCCCTCTGGTTGGAGTTTTCTTCCCACCATTGCACTCCATGACGAGTTTCGTATGTGTGTGTTTTCACTCATCATGTGCAGGTCGCCGGATCTGGGAGCTGAACTAAATACTGAATACTGTATGTGGGAGCAAGCAGAAATATAAATCTGTACAACCCCATCGCAATATAGGCAAAATGTTATAACAAGTCTCTACACTCCGTGATAATTGAACCGTTCGAAAAGTTCTGATGTAGCAATTTGGAATATCTGACTTACTGTTTCATAGGGATCACAAATGCAAAGTGTCATTGATAGTGTGCAATCGATCCCTGGATCGACCGGGGCTGAAATGTAAATCCAATAACGTCTTGAACAGTTGTACAGCTTTGACCTCCATGACTTGTTCTGACAGACTGTTCCAAACATTTACCACTCTACCTTCGAGGCACAGCGGTTGGGGATCTCGCTTTATAACTGGCATTACAAGCTTGTCCCGATGTCCGCTTGTGCTGCATGGCGTTCGCAAATAAAAGCAGTGACCTCAATATGGGGAAGTCACTGATATGTACTATGGGGTAGGTCACGATCAGATTGATTCACAGCCGACGCTGCGGAAATGTGTACTAGCCCAGTTTATCACACTTACCTTCGTACGGCAAACCTCGTACACTTGGAATGCGGTTGGCGACCACGTGTTGCACCCGTTCAATCTTCTATGCCTCGCCTCGCGTGATTGAATACTTGGTAGGTAGCCACACTCCAGTATTTATCTTATGATGGAAAAGGTGAGTAGCGACCAATTGAGACTAACTACGGAAACTGCTTTTGAGCGCCCAAACATGCGCAGGCCGTTACGATACAGCCTGTTCGTACTGTCCACGGACTCCAAATCGTAGCACGAGAGTACAGTTAGACTATACAGAATGCCTGGGATGTAGCGGTTAGCCGTCAATGGTGTAAATTCGGCCATCACCACCCTTCCCAGGCTCATAAATACTGGCTTGGATAAGTTGACCGCGAGGCGGACTTCCGCAGACCAAATGGAAAGGCGCTTGACGTCATGCTGAAGTAGGCTGCAGTCGTCTGGGGTGCTAATTTCTCTCCAACTCTTCACGTCATCCGTAAACAGAGCACACCGCAGCTGAAGAAACTGAGGTAGATCGTTAATATGGGTTAGGAACAGAGTTGGCCCTAGCACCTTGCTTTGGGGTAATCCACTAGTAGAGCCATACTAGTCAGTTAGATGGCGGTTGACCTGTACCCTCTACGTTCGCTCAACGAGAAAGTCTTGCATCCATTGGTGCAATGATCCGCCAACGCCGCACGTTCTCAGCTTGTGGAGGAGGACCTCATGGTTACCTTGTCGAACGCTTTACTGAAATCAATGTAAATTAAATCGACAGACTTCCCCTGATTTATTGCCTGCATCCATTCAGGCCTCGTCACCAGCAGATGGGTAATGCGTGAGCGACCTATCATAGAACCGTGCTGTGCGGGCGTCAGTAGATCTTTTGAATGGAGCAGCTGTAGTAGACCCTTCTTCACGATCTTCTCGGCAACCTTGGCCAAAATAGGTGTCAGACAAATCGGCCTGTAGTTGTCCACTTTGCTGGGGTCACCGCCTTTCGGAATCGGCTTAACCACTGAGCATTTCCAGTCGCTCGGCAATGAACCTTCGGATAGTGATCTGTTGAGCAAGTCAGTCACAGCAGGTGAGATGATGGCCGATAGGGACTTGAGAATCAGTGGGTGGAGTCCGTCAGTGCCAGCATGTTTGGTGCCGTCAAGGTTGGTGAGTAGTTGATGCACCTCTTCAACACCGCAAACCAGACTGTCGAGTTCGGTAAGCGCGGTACACGTCGAACTCGGTACAGACACCTGGTCATTTGCAAACACGGAAGCGAAGTGCGCCGCCAAGGCGGACGCACGCTCAGGGCTAGAGGTTAGGGGCTGTCCGTCCGAGCCCTCTAGCACTGGCAGATCACCTGCTGTCTTCAGCAGCCGCTTCACGTAATATTCCTTTCGGAGCTGTCTTTGTGGCGCTTGCTCGTTTTTGCATTATTACAAATAGTTCACTGTCTCGTAATCATTGGAAGAGCTGGAGAGAAGGGATTTGTCCCACAGTTTGCGCCGCCGCCGAGCCATTTTACCATACCCCTTGTCGAACCAATGAGGCTTGATTGAGCCAACTTTCCGACACTTCAATGGTACGAACTGAGAACACAGTAATGCCTGTCTTCTTCTAATAACAGTCCAACTGTCTTCCACAGATGCAGTTTACGACAGCGACCAATCTACTTGGATCGCGACTTTAGTTAGACAGTCGAAGTTAGTTGTCCAGTAGTTGTAAACTGGCTCCAACGGACGGGAATACGGTAAGGAAACATCCATACGGGCTATGAGCACTGAGTGATCGCTTGGTTCTAGATTCTCTAGGATCTGAACGTCATACACATGTTGTTCATAGCTTACTATCACCAACTCCAGACATGACGGAGTTTATTCGAGTCGGCTGATATGTGTGTTGCGCTGCTCCGCTTTCAAGTACTAAGTCCACGAACTTTATTTCGACCTCGCAATGTCTTGGCATAAGTTCACTTTCATTCCAGCGTATCCAAGGACAATTGAAAACACCTATGCGTAGAAAACGGGGACGATTCATGTGACCTCGGAGATGCGACAGCCAATCCAAACAACGGCTGGGACTGCGATAAAATGCACCCACGATCAGCTTCCTGCGTCTTAGATGGATCGAACACCATAGCTGCTCACAAATCGTCATCGCTTCTGTAGATTCTCAAAACTCCCACACAGGTAGGACCGGATGTAGAGCAAGACGCCACCGCGGCTAGTCGATAGCCTATCGCAGCAGAAGCATGAGTAGCCTCTAAGTTGGATTTCCTGGGCTATCACCCCCAGTATTCAGTCACGTCTCTTCAAGTCCTATTATGTTTGCTCGTTCTGATGCAAATAAACGACCGCTCCTCGCGCTTGTTCATAAGACTACACATGTTGATAAAGTCTACTCGCAGGTCGTAGCAAGGACCACCGGGCATGCTTGAAGTGTGAGCAACTTGTTTATCCTGGTTCGTGACATCTTGGAAACGAACTGAAAGTCTACGCTACGGAGATTCGTTTCCCCATTACCATTTCTTCTCTTCAGTTCAATGATGGCAGACTTGAGTCGTCCTCGATTCACCGGATTTAAGTCTGGAGCTTTAAACTTTTCAACCTATTTAATTGGAACAAGATAATCCTAGGACTGACTTCATACACAAAGGTGATCTTGTTGATCGACTTTGTTGATACTCTTTCTTACCAAGGCGGGTAGTTTGCTTCTAGTTCAACCCGTCCTCTTCCACGTCGAGTAGTCTGTCAATTAATCTGTAGAAACGACGTTATGATCGTGGTGTATCTGGGAAATTGGATCATTGGACTCAGGCGCATGGAATATCACGAGGTTAGAAAGCCTCTAATCGGCCAAGGTCGAACTTGCAGGGCGAGGATTTTCTCGCACTTCACCTGATCTGGCCTGTCGTTGATTTACAGCGGCTGAACTCTTATCACTTTTCTGCCGTTTTCTTTCCTTGTACTTTCACGTGTCTTCACTACACAGGCCCTCACATGCTGGGACATCTGTGCCTGTAGAATAAAACACAGGTAGAATGTTCGCGTCTGGTGTAGCTGCGTTGCTGGTAACTGCGGAACTTCGTGCGGGTGAGTTTGTACGGGACGAACAGCAAAGTTTATGAGAAACCTGCAGGTGCTTCGGGCTAGGTTGGGGGGGCCAAACACATGAAGCTGCTCTCAACGGAATGATTCATCCTACAATGCGGCCTGCGATTCTGCTCTACCTTTTCCGGCCGCATCTCGTTTCGGAAATTCTTACACAAAATTTGAACGAAATCATGTTGGATTTTACGAAAACGCCGTAAACGCTCAGTAAACTGTCCAATGCATGAAATACGGAATTTAACTTGACACATAAGACATGTGAGTGCATTTGTTCGACTTCCGACAACTTTGGAACATGAACCGCAAAGCGATTGTGTCCGCATTACGAAAATCCGAGACCAGGATGGCGGCAAATTGTGGAGCACAGCGATAGTAAGGCCTCCGAAGTTCAACCGAGATAACATAAGTGTTTATGGTCGAAAAATCCAGAATCAGAAGTGAAACTATGTTATTGTAATTTCCACCAACTACTTCAATGCACAGGGAAGTCTAACAATAAATAGTCTCATTGACACGGCCCGGGCTTAGTGGTTGACGATTGGCACCTTGATCACTAGGCCACTGAGATCTGCGCACAACGCATGGCACAACGGTCTAAAACTCAAAGTAAGATTTTGGAGTACTCACCATGTGTTTGCATTGCGGCGCGTAATCTTTAGAGGGTCATCGGCTTATTTTAAGTTACATTTCGTGCATTCCGACCACTTGGGCCATATACGGATTGAAAAGCTTCATGTTTTCCGCAGCAAACAAGCGGTAACGTTACACTTCCGCTTCCCTTTCTTCCTTCATCTTCTTGACCGAAATTGTCACAAAGGGCTCTCTCAGCCTTCTTGTGGTGGACGCTTTGCTAGATCATTGATCGACGAAATTAGAGTGCGCTACAGACGTAACTCTTAGGGTCGCACCCGGCTCTCAGACAAGCTCCACTGGATCAACCAACTTATAGGTGCGCGCCTCAACACGCGCTTTACGCCAAGATTCAAGGTATTGCTCTAAAACTGGTGCGATATGCCCCCAGTTCTCACAGTCCACGTGCCATCACTCTATTTGGTCTATCACTTTCCTGATTTCCGGGGCTATATCGCCTCCGGAGATCGTTTCGTCGAAAATGTCATTGCATGCATCGGTGCGGCTCGTGTGGCTCTTTCTTGTCTCATGGAGATAATGTGTTGAAGCTCCTTGGTTAGTACTAGCACTGGGACTCACTACCCCTCATTGTGCTCAGTGTTGTCGCATGGCTCAAAGTCAGGTTCGCTGCGCAGTGAAGAATTTAACAGACAGACCTGCGTTCAACAATAGGTATTTGGGAATTGTTACGAGTATTGGAAACGTCGAGCAAGTACTACGAGTGTACTCAATTTGGTGTCTGTTGAACTGGAGTCACCTTTGCTAGCTAGGTTGTGCCTCGCGCGCGCCTATTACATTGATATCCCGGTCTATGTATGCTATTCGAACTGTGTGATTACTGCCTGTTAGGTGACCTTGGTTCAGCCAATGCCATTTTTCCACATTTACTGTTTCAATGTCATTTAGCAGCATTTTATAAACCAATGAAATCTTATCCCTCGTTTGGACTTGAGGTCGGCATGTTCGCGATTCCTAGAAGGCCACAACACTGTGTTTGTCCCTTTCTTTTTCCCCTGAAGCAAATCTGCCTTGTTTGGAAGTTTACTCACCATTGTGTTTCCAGCGTGCACCTGGTTGCACTTGGGCTACACATTCTAAATTGAGATCAAGAATGACCTTGACTAATTTGTCATCGGTATGTGTAAGACGTCTACTACCACGTTTGTGAATCCGATATTGGGTCTTGTTCGCATGGCCAAGACCTGATCTATGCGGCGTACTTGTTGTGAGCTTTTTTGTCCTGCCATCTCACGTTTAGCTTCCCCTCCAGTCACAATTTCACTCTCGATGCATAATTTTCCTTGTTCTACCTTGTATTCTGCAACATTTCATATCTCACTTCTACGTATATCTTCTATTTGTATTACAACACAATAGGTGAGTTATTTCTTAACTAAAGCCCTCGGTAGCTCAGTGGTAGAGCAGCGGACCGGAAATTCGTGGACCGGGGTTCGATTCCCCGTCGAGGCACATTATTGTCCGTGATTGTTAATCGTGATTTCTACTTTCCACAAACTTGACGCTACTCACAAACATCCAAACTTAAAGCTGTTATGTTTGCAACGGATCTCTTCCACCGGATTGCGGTGCAGCAATTTCGGACTATATCATTACCCATGGTTGGCGGTCAGTTTATCATTATAATTACTTCTAATTAATCAATTACTTTTAATTCATTTTGTATCGTCCTAGCTAACTTCTTATCCTATCTTCACTATTTTGTCGCAGAACCTGTTGACCATTGCCAAACAAGCACCGATTATTTTCCCGAAAATCGCCTCAAGGGACACACTATCCGACTAAGTCATGGCCCAAAAGAACCGGGGACTACCCCCATAGTACGTTCTTCCACCTTCCGCTTTTTATAGCATTTTGCTGATTCTCAGTCCTCGTACCATTGTTGCGTCACCTATTTTACCTGTCTGCTGGAGTCTGGCTTGCACTTCTCGTCATCGACCCAGCGGAATGGCCCCAGGTTTTTGTTAGGTTTTTGGTTACTTGCGTCTGAACCATACTTTCAGTTGCACCTTCACACCACCGTGTTGATACCATATCTAAGATGTAGATGTATGTGCTGAACATATACCTGATTTTGTGATCACCTCAGGACAAGAAGTTCCCTTAAATGTAGCTTGACTAAGAAACTGTAACGGTTGGTCTGACATTTACCTTATCTTGCAGCTCCAGTTGTAACTCATTTATTTTGGTTTTAATTATTCTTTTTCATTTGATACCAATTCCACTGTTTCTCCAACCATTGCTCCACCATTTGTTTCCTCGAAAAGTGAGCATCCTGCCACTGTCATCCGAATTCTCGTCCGTCGGTTGCTTCGCATTTGCTTCATGCCAGCTCCATTTTTAGTAGCAAGTCTCCCTCTGAGAAGCAGGAGTCCTGCTAGATGGCCGATCGATGAATTTAGAGTTCCACTTAATTTTAACTGATTCACCTCAATAGGTTGCAGACCTGATAATCTAACCACCAATCCGGAAAAGCACCAGGCTACCGCTTCGCCGTTTTGAGGCTCGTTAATGGTGCTTGTCCCTCGGTTCCGTGACGGAGCACATAAACCGATTTCCGGTTCTAACTTACAGATATTTTCGCTGCTTTGTTTATATTGAATAAACTACTTCTTCCTTGTTGGGCTGATCTCTCTTCTGCCTCTTTTCAGGTGCGATGCAAGTGTTGGTAGGATTGGCTGTCATGTCGACTCACTGGTTCACCTAATATGTTGGTATCCACAATGGAACGCGCACCACCCTCTAACCCTAAATCGGATACCACTTAAGGTTGTGCAATTGAGCATCGTCATATCTGTGAACTTCCTCTCAATGCCCAGCTATCCGTCATCATACAGGAAGTTCTATCCTTCCTTTCCATTTGATATCACCTTTTGGGACCTCGGTTTTAGTAGCAGATTCTTAATGGGACGTATGGATGGGTGACTCGATCATCACACTTAATTTGTCTTTTCTTTGTCCCTCCTCCTCCCCCTTAGCCGCCTCTCCAACCATGATCTTAATTATTCGGCATAATATAACTACTTTGCGGCACAATAACCGGCTGTTAGCTCTCCATCCGTTACTGGTTACTCAGCCGGCGTGCTTCTGTTTCATGTTTCTTTTCTTTCCTTTTGTATTGCGGTACATTAGCTGAGGTGTTTTCCACCTGCAGCTAACGTGTATAATGAATGAATGATTTTATTCCTCTATTAACAGGTTATATTCAACATCCGGCACCGCTCTTCGTTATCGCACAGTCATTATTTTCTTAGCTGCCTGAATGGGGGCAATTGTTTCTCTGTAATTCATTCGCCACATTCTCTTTAATTCACACTTCATACGTTTTCCCATGAGCTCGACTTGCCTCTTTTTTGCAGTTTGAATCCACTACTTTAGAAGCTCGACTAATTTTCCCAATATATCATACCTATCTCACCATTGACACTCTGTAACGAGTTTGCTGATCCTGTCTGAGCAACACATCGGTGTACATTTTACAGGAACTCACTTTGAGCCGTGTGTGTTTTGTGATATGCTGTCTCTGCCTTTCGCTCTATTTTCTCTGGATGCGGTAACTTTACTTCAAACCTAGTCTGATCACAGCCATGGACAGTTGATTCGTAAATTGCGCATATCTCTCACGAATACTTCGGTTTGTATGCCCATTGTCCCTTCTGCGTACCTGACCGAAGTGGTGATTGATATTGGTTCTCTCTCTTTACAGCGCTCGGTTCCTCCAGCCTATTTGACGGAGTCGCTACGCTTTATCGACGATCCCGAAGTGTCCGACGAAACAAGCTCTCCCATTTGGAAGCGCAAACATCCCGAGGTATTGGATTCTTCATTACGCGACCATTCGCCGGCGTCTGCGTCGGACTACAAGAGCGTCATCTTATGTAGTAATAGCCCAAACGTACCGAAGGCTGCTGCAGCGGTGGCTGGCATAATTCCTGCAGCGGCAACATCGAAAGCCTTGCTATGTGATCAGTGTGAAATGGCTGAGCTAATGTTTTTCACTGCAAAGCAAACTCCAGTAAACATTGACCGTTCGGCTTTACGCGAACCTCTGCTTTCAAGTAGCTGTGAGATATGTCGTCGGCTTCTTTTGAATGTTGGCGTCAATCTTTTCAACCGGTAAGACAGTCTGTTTGAACGTGACATAGTCATAAACCATTCTGCTGTTATTTATTAACTCAATCCATCAATATAGGTATCGGCTTCATACTTTAGCGTTATGCGAAATTTCACACGTGATTGTTTCGCTACTCCCCATTTCCACCAAGTTTGTAGAATTGTAGGGAAGCGTTGTCGTTCACCCTCGTTTTCAGCTAGTAGCATTTCCATCCAAAAACAATGACCTTGTCAGATTTTTGTTTGCATGTATGTTCGTGTCCACCTTTATTTTGCTTATCCTTATCGATCCTTATTGCTAACGCAGTTCTGTACTCGTGTCAGGTTTGACTTAATGAACTTTACTGAGCCGTATCGATCAAAGCGTCCGATTGATTCCCCACCTCCTGGGCTTGACTGCATAGTTTCCTTCTTAGGGGCTACATCACGCTGGTTGGAAAGAACGCACATTTGACAGTTGTGCCATCCGGTGCACCGCAAGGTCGCTCATCACACATCATTCACCTCCTTACACAACTTCTTTTTTCACCATGCTCCAATCAGTGAGGATTAAATTCTCCATCAAACTTCGTTATGGTAGCCTGTTCGGCATTTTGTCTCACCGACCCGTGGCCAAAAGAATCGCATGCCCGTCTTGTACTCTGGAGGTCACGGATCCGAGCCTACGTAGGGGACCGGGTAGCCCTCGCAGTATCCTTAGTCCACGCGCGACTTGTGGTTGCATGGTAGCTAAGCGTCGGTGCTACATACCAGTCTACTGCTGATGCTTTTTTCGGCATTGTCTCTATTGATGGTGTCACTCATGACATGTAGGTCTTACCAAGCTATTTATGTTTACTACTGGCTTATTAATCAAACAAACGACTGTCTATAGGATTGGTGACGAACCGATTATGTCGATTTCGATTAGTACAACTATCTGAAACCTTAGTCCATCTGGTGAATGCCGCCTTACTTAATCGTCCGCGGTAATAGCTGCACCAGCAGCTGCTGGCCATTTCCATCAATATCGCTTTCTGTTCGGTTTGTTTTTACTTCTCAGCTTTTCCGCCATTCCTTTTTTATTTCTTCACTCTGGATGGTTTTTTATTTTCGGTTTTATCTTCTTTTTCCTCTCTTATTATTGACCATTATTATGACGCGGTTGCGGTCGACACCACCGCTGTTCGGTGTCCCGATCGCAGCTATTTTATTGAACCACCGGGATAAAGGCTGTCACCACTGTTTCAGCTTGGAGTTCCAACGCTGTCTACGTGGACTTTGGCTCACTAGGTTCATCTCCAGTCAACAAAATCCCTCGTTTGACGCGTATCACCGCTGTATCCTGTTAACAGTACTCTCACTCCACTCTCCACTTCGGTGACGGTTCCAGTGACCGTATTGGCAGAGGCTGACTTCAAAGTCAACCGACGCCACTAGTGAGATTGCGCGTCGCAATCCAAGACACACGGCGGGTGCCGAAAACCCGAAAATCTAGTTTGAGGCAAGTTTTCATTGTGGCATTTTTTCCTCCGCCCCATGCTGATTGTGTCCATGGAGCTCGTCTGTCAGTGGCGGTGGAACGTTACGTCTAACCCTTGAATGCTTGACAAACTTGTTACCTTTAGTTGCGGATTGTTGCACCATGACAATCTCGGATTGTTCCGACTCGGCATACTTACTTTAAACATTGTCTATGACTTAAGTTTCATATTCTATGAAACATCATGCATTTACCATCCATTTATGCACCTTACTCTTTTCGTGCGTTCTCAGCGACCCGCTTCAAAGCCTAGATTTTCTCGAACGATATGGATTCCTGCAGGCCGATTGCCCCAAGACGATTGCGTCTTTCATCCGGACTGCGCCTAACCTCTGTCGTTCGCAGCTTGGCGCTTTCCTCGGACTTCCTAACTGTCCTCGTACTTCTCCCTCCAAAGTGATGCAGTGAGTTTTCTTTCGCTGATAGGGATCTTGCTCCAGCCTTAGAACACAATGCCTTGCCTCCATCACGTGATTTTTGTTCCTCTGCCTTTACATCACGTACTTCAGACTGCAAACACCGTATTCTTTAAATAAATGAGAATATCCGTAGCTCGGGGTGTAGATACGGATTTTGAGCGGTTCTCCGAGCTGAGTGATTATTGTGCGGACGTTTCTTTGCCTGACTAGGCAACATCATCAGTGCGGCTTCAGGGGCCTGGTTCGAAGTGCCTCGTAAGCGACTTCAATGTCCAAGTGCTTATTGATCGAGTTCTGCTTTGCATGCCAGGCTTCAATGAACTCATGTGCAAGTAGAACTCGATCAATAAGCACTTGGACATTGAAGTCGCTTACGAGGCACTGCGAACCAGGCCCCTGAAGCCGCACTGATGATGTTGCCTAGTCAGGCAACGAAACGTCTGCACAATAATCACTCAGCTCGGAGAACCGCTCAAACACCGTATTCTTTAGCCCCAGCTCCATCGAAAGTTCATAGAGCAAATATTCCATCGTTTACGTAGACTAATTTGCGCACCTCATCATTGTCTCCTAGTAGCTCCGCAGCTTTTATTTCTTTTTTGTGGCATTCTTTCAGTTGTAAGACTGTGACAACTCGTTTGCGTCTGTTTCGGTTTCCTTGTTAGACGCGTTTCGAGGCCAAGATGATTTACTCTCTGACTGTCGATTGCTATCCGTTTGTCCAATCCTTTAAACGGATTGCAGGACCTCTCATGTGAATACTCATGATGCTGCTCGCATCTCCGTTGCTTTCAGTCTACCCAGCTGCGTCGTGTTTCGCCGCCTCAGTAATCCTCCTGAAACTCGAATCATCGAATGCTAGACCGGCTTCCTTCTCGACAGAGGATGCACTGAGCGCAACCTTACACTCCGTCAGATGCTTGGACACAATCATCTTCCGGAAAAGCACCAGACGGCCGTTTCGCCCCATTGGGGCTCATCAGTGGTGCGCATCCTTCGGTCCTCTGCGGAGGATCGAACCCATGACTGCTAGTGGCTCTTGCCAACTAGCCCGCGGCTTATGCAACTGCGCCATGGAGGACAGTATCTGGCTATCGTGAATTGTTAGCTAAATGCGATATAGCCCGACGCATCCTCCACTGCCATGCAGGCACCTGCCATGCAGATGACAGCGGTCGGCCTTCCGGCGTCAGGACTTCCCGGTTACGGCAGCTATGGATCGACATAGCATTTTGTGGAATCCGTACGGGCGAATTGGTAGTACTTATGAATGGAAGGATTTTGGTGAGTATTTTTGTTCGTCGCAATCAACCGACAATTCAGATATGTCGACCAGCTGTCCGGAAAAGCACCAGACGACCGTTTCACCCTATTGGGGCTCATCAGTGGTGCGCATCCAATAGGACGAAACGGCCGTCTGGTGCTTTTCCGGACAGCTGGTCGACATATCTGAATTGTCGGCTGATTGCGACGAACAAAAATACTCACCAAAATCCTTCCATTCATAAGTACAATCATCTTCCCTCTGGCCTTCTGTTGTCGTCCTCTGTAAATTGAAAGCGTTCCTTGTTATAGTTGTTCGTACTTATTTGTTGGCGCGCCTGACTTCGTAGATCTTATCGAGGGCTTTGATTTCACAACAGCAAATGGCTTATGATATCGCTTCCCTATTCCTCTGTTCTTGTCTACTTACTTGACTGAACTGATCGCAAGTTACTCCTGCCTTCTTTCACCATTTCTGGACTGGCGACTCTACGCTTCCCTGCTAAACTTAGAGTACTCAATAGACATTATTCTGTTTAGATCTAACCCGAATTTGTGGGCGAGCTAACACACAGTGGTCCTTGCTTCGTAACTTCAAGAGGCAGCCAGGTTGGGTCCACATGCCAGTTGTTTGACGTGCCTGGTCAGTTTTCTTATTTAGGCAACAGTGTTATCCCTGCTAATCGCATCACCGTAGAGGTTGCCGCATTTATTGCCAAAGCTTGTGAGGATTTTCATAGTTCCTTCCCATGTACGGTGAGGGCACAAAATAAACCTAACGGTTTAGAGATAGACGTGCAACGTTGCAGTTCGATTAGTGTTACCGTGCAGATTAATGGGAACAATTATGCGCTAATCCCTGGTCGTGTTTGATTAGCGATGCTTGCGGGTTGTTATTCGTAGCTTGTACAATAGCCGAAGTTCATAATTTTGTATTTACCAGCTGTCCCTCATGTGCCATATTCTAGTGTCTATTGGAATCGAACAGCTTACGGTGTTTGAATAGTCCTTTACAAATGTTCGCCAACCGACTATCTCTACACACGTTATCTGCCGTCGGTACACCTAGTTGGGAAAAACCCCGAGATAACCCCTCGCTTAGGTGACAAAGTGGCGTGATGGTACTATACAACCAATTCAAGTTGGTGCGTGTTCCCGTTCATGAATGTGACTTTCAGGATAGACTACATCAGTGCTTCGATCCTGCATTGGATTTAACACCCTAACCAGGTCAAGAACGTTGTTACATTAATTGCCTGCTTTTTGTTCTGTCTGATAACTTGTTCACTCACCGTTAAGTACCAATCATCAGTGTCAGTACTATTAATCAACCATGTGACTCGTCACAAACTGGACCCATGCACTTGTGCGCGGATTATAGCCGAGCACTGAATTAATCTGAACGGCTGCATCTGGCCTTTTTACTACCATCCTGCCGAAACAGCTCTACTTTGAAAATGAACAGGAGAGCTTTCAACTCGTAGCTTCTTATTGTTGCGGCATCTCGTTAGGAACAGCCTGTTCGGAGGCCAAGTATATGCGCATCCAAAGTTACATTGTCACCATTCATCCATTTCACTGACTTCACAACGGCTTGGTTCTCGCCCTTTGAATACCGTCGATCGGTAGTGGATTCGGAGCTGTTGTGTGATATAATAACAACGCGCAAGTCTGCTACCAAAAGAGCGACTCTTTCTGGTCACCCTCATTTCTTCTATCCACATCCTGTGCTCGGCCGCATCGCTTCATAATCACTACTTGATACAGTCTGATCGATTACTTGATAGCGGCATCGTTGACCGCCTTTGGGTTCATTGGTTCCAGTGCAAATCTTAATACATTTATGACGTGCATGCTTCGAATTTGCAGTTGAACTATCCAGTTTTACCTTCCGCTTCTCTTTGTAAGTGCACAAACATTGCGCTGTGGTGCCAACTTTTCTCATGTTTTCGCACCAGGCTGGGACATCAGATCTTGTTTTCTGCATCCATCCTTGGTGCCTACTACACTATCTCTATATGTTGAGCTGTGGTGCAAATCCGGCTTCGAATGTCTACACTCATTGCTAGGAGCTGTATAGCGAGTCAGTTGGCTTTAAATCAAGAAAGCCCGCCTCATTGACTCTCTCCGGAATGGATTAGCGCCTACGCTGGTCTGATTCTGGTCTGGTATGGTCCCATCCCTACTGTCTGTGGAGTCGAGAGACCTTTTCACTGTGTGCATGGAAAAGGGCGCACTCTGCACATCAATAGATGTCATGGTAACACTGTGTTGCATACCTTGGGCGGACCGCAATCACCTTGGTAGCCGTTGCTAACAAGCATTCTCTCCGCCGACGTGGCCCTATTACTCTACGGTCTCATAGATTTCAATTATCTCCTTGGTACCATCATTCTCAATGATGAACACCCGATTAATTTGTACAGCCTTCGGGTTACAGTGTAGTTTCAGAATCACCTACGACTCTGTTATAGTAATAATAGGTATATTTCTCTTCAGTTGAGAAGTTGCTTCCATATTTTTCACAGATCATATGTGTGGTGAGAATACCATGCTATTGCTGGGAAATCCCTCCTCGTGGCGAATGAAAACTAAAAACCGCGGTATATTCCTCGTTGGTGCGTGGCACAGCCCAACTTGGTGGTACGATTCTTGACGTGCGACGGAATCGCAAAGGGCCGATGTTTTATTTTGTGAATTTTCCAAAGCAGTTCTCAAACTATTTTTCAGCGGACATGGCTAATTGACCCGTTCAATTTCTCGGGAAGATTGTGAGATTGTCAAAAATAATCAGTACAGTTCGGTCGATCAACTATGATCCGAGCAACAAAATGTGGCGGATCCTATTTGCCGCGACTCACGGCGCAAAAATAACAATAAATAACAACGGTGAAAAGGTGGGCCTAAGGGCAAATGGAATGTACAAAAAATGGAAGCAAGTACGGAATACATTAAACCATTAAAAATTAATAATCGGATATAAAAAAAACCGAATGCAGGAACCTCACTGACTGCGGGACTGTGCCATGTTTCATACGGTCTCCAACCATTGATGTTGACCATCCCGATGCCCCCATCCACGAAGACGGCACGCACCCGCCTGACCAAGTCTTTCATACAATCTCTTCATGCCTCTATGCCACGTTATGGACTGGCAACGTCGCGATTTCGCTCGACTTGGTGCAGCCACGACTTATAATGCACACCGAGTAAGTCAGTCAACGGGCCTACGAAGGACATGACCTAGCCAACGTAAGCGATTAGGATTCAGCAAACAATCGACTGAGGAATCAGATGGCTTCTTGCCAAAACCAACTGGCGGACCTCAGCGTTGCTCACCTGGTGTTCCCACCAAACGTGAGCAATACTCCGCAAGCACCGGTGGTCAAACACGGCCACGCGGTTAATGTCTTCGCCGCGAACTGGCTAAGTTTCTGATCCATACAGACTGGCCTTCCCGCAGCGTTATACAGCCTACCTTTCACTGACGCTGATATCCCGCCGTCTCTAGTTGAATCTCTGGAAAGCCAAACGAACCTTGCTGAAACGCGGAGTAACTTCTCCAGTGACGCTACCACAAGAAGTGAGACAGCTACCAAGGTAAATGTACCGATCCACCACTTCCAATGGCCGTTCGATGATAGCTAGAACCGGACGTGTATCAGTCCAGTCATGCAGCAGTACTTTGCACTGAATGTGCGAAGCACATGCCGAAGCGTGCAGCGCTACACACCAGTCTGTGCAGTAGGGGTTGCATAGCCACTGCGTCGGACCCAAGAAGGGCTATGTCGTCCGCATACTCCAAGTTTGTCAGTCAGCTACTTGGCAGAACTTTCATTTCAGAATATTTTGAAATAGCCGTGTCATCCATGCTTATTTCGACCATAAAGTTGCAAAGGAAAGGAAATATAGGACAGCCCTAGCGAACCCCACTTGTCGTGAACTCGAAAAAGAGTTTCCTCTTAGACCCTTACATGTCATCGGAAATCACGATGAGGGACTTAGCATTTAGAGGAGTTTAGCTGGCACGCCATTCATGGATAGGTAGTGCCACAAGCTCACACGGTCAACAGAGTTGAAGGCAGCTCTCAAGTCATGGGAAATCACCATTGTCGGTCGTTTGTATGTGTGTTTGCTTCAACACTTGGCGAAGAGTAAATAAGTGATCGATACAACCACGACCAGAGCGGATGCCAGCCTGGCTTTCAGTGGATCGGTTCTCGCGAGGACCAGTAAGTCGTCAGAGAATGATATCCGTGAGAAGTTTGGATGTAAAGGAAACGGCTACGATGATTCTCGCACCAAGTACGCTGATTCTTTTTGAAGATGGGCACGTCAGTTAACATCCGCCAGTCTGAAGGCAGCTCTTCAGTGTTTCAACTCGTGTTAAATAGAGAAACAAGTCCACTCACAAAGAGTCGCCACCATCTTACAGCAAAGATATAGGAAGGTCGTCGGGTCCAGAAGCCTTGTTTCTTTTCAACCCGGAATGCCCAAATCGAATCTCTTCCAAAGTCGGAGTTGCGACATCGACTTCTCACTTCGGCTCAGGCGATTCGGCAAGCGGCAATGTTGCATCAGGCCTGCTGAGGTGCTCCTCAAAATGTTCTACCCAATGGGCTACTTGTCTTTGATACCCTCTGAACTGCATTCAGGAGGGGCATAAACTGAGGCGATGGAAAGGCATCTTGTCTTTCGACGCTGCTTATTAACCCCACTAGAGGTTCGAAGTCGAACCGCACATGTGCAGCTGTTCATCATTATCCAGTTGAGCAGATTGCCTCCAGCATGTTTGCTGACGCTAAATACATTTAGCCATTGACTCAGTATAGCCATAGACGCGAAGGATGTAGCAATCGTCGTCAGATCCGGAACCTGGGAGTCAACGATTCGTCACGGTCTTGTTATCTTATATGTGTTTCGGAGACACAGCACACATCAGTACCAAGAGAATGAAGAGTGAGAGTCGGTGCTGCCTGCTGGCCGATCTGACATTGAGTGCGGACGTTAAAGGAACCAATGTGAAATGAAACTACCGGGATCGATGACAGCAGCTGCGAGGTCAGTGGCAGTCTCCTGCTCAATAGACGGAGAAGAGGAGAGAAACAAGTAGAGGAAGGAGTGTTGTCGACGTGGTTGAGCTGGCGGATGATGCTCTCCACCTGTCCATTTTGAGAGGAGTTTTATTTGAGGTGCCATGTCTCTAGCCTTTGACTCAGCAATATGACCCACAAGACATTGAAGTACATGGAGGTTTCCTTGGGGGATTCCACTCGGAGCCTTTGGCTCAATAGCCTGACCCACTAGGCATTGGGGAGCAAATCCAGCTTGGGAGTATGATAACAGAGACTCATTGGATCTGCTTGAGGCCTTTCACGCACAGCCTTTGAAGATTTAGAACAATGCCATATGTATTGCAAACGTATTAAGTTACGCACCTGCGGACACGATCAGTCGCAAGTGGGAGTTGGCGGGTTTGCTCCAATTTGACCAGGGACTGTCTGGCTTGAGACGGGCGATAGCGAATCATTGAGTACCCGAAGGTGCCCTGCCACCGTCAGAGACACTACGTGGCGGTCGTGCTTTGCACCAATTGACATGTGAGCTTATACCTCGTAGTCCTCGATATTTTTGACATATTTGGTACCGATCGGGAAACCATCATTTCAGCCGACTTGGTGGATGACCGGTTAATATATTTATAATGAAAACTCGTAGTCCTGTTGTTTCTCATGTCTAGGTTTTAAAGCAAGTGGGCCATCGACCTCTCCCTAACTTCCGAAGAGGATCGGATTGTGAGACTAAGTTAGTCTGACCTCCAACCACTGACGTGTCTGGTATGAGTGCTTCTGAAGGCACTTGGAAAGTACCACCCATCATAGCTCAGTGGGTCACGGGGGTACACAGATCATCGCACCACGCTTTGGTCCAGTCTCCTTGCGATGATCTCAAAAATAAAATAGGGTAGATAACTCCAAATGTATAATCGGAACGGTCTCCTTGGGACCTGTTTCCATGCGGGTTATTCTCTCGATGCATTTTCCCCGCACTTTCATGCCCCATCCGGCTGAGTGCCGGTGTGGCTTTTAAAGCAGGCAAGCCGTCATCTATGTATATCGTATGTGATATCATAGTTCCTGTAGCTTTACCGTTATTGACTTCTTCGCAATAGCTCAATGCGTGTTCGCTCTTAATCCAACTTTTTTAAATACACACTGCTGCAGATATTTTGACTTATTTCACAGCGAACCTTGAGAGCTCGTGATCTCTTATTCTCCTACTCCTAACTACCTAACTGACGTTTATTATCAAGTTTCTCGAAACACACGTGTTTATTTCTGCGCCTTTTCCCCAGTGGTTTAGTTTGACCTAACTCTGGGTCGTCCTATTATACATTCGCCAAACTGTTATACGTCACTATAGTATTATCTCGCCTGGCCTTAATCTCTTAAGGCTAACGCGGCTTCATAGCTATGTGACTGTATCTTACGACGTAATTGGGACTACTCTCACAGGCTTTAATGGTACTTGTGCTTTTATTGATATACTATGGGGCCGCCTAACATCATTATTCGTTAATTATACACGTTAGCTCAAGATGGAAAACACCTTAACTATTTTGCCGCAACACATTAGAAAATAACAGAAAAATGCAAAGGCACGCAGGCTGAGTCACCGGTAACATATGGACAGCCGGCTATTGTGCCGCATATGAATTGAGGTCGTGGTTGGAGAGATAGGGACAAAGAAATTCCCAACACGAACGCGACTGTCATCGGTTCCTAGTCATATCAACACGTGTATCCAGCCAAACGTGTTCATCGTCTTTCGGACCTCAACCAAGGAGCCGAGAGGCTCCAACCGAGACCAGTTTCCTATTATGGACCTTCATTCCCCCTGACCAAGTCATCATTTGGCCACCTCTCCTCTTCTTCCATCCACATCCCCGGCGCGCAAACAACGCACGTCGCGGGAGTCGGTGTGCCGGCATGCGCAACACATAGCCCAGTCATCGGAGCCTGGTGCGTGATATAACCGTGCCGAGCGGTTCACTTCTTCCTGTGTCATAAACGGGACGTCGAAGACGCTCATTTCTCATACGGTGTTCCCACCAGATGTGAGCGAAACTGTGAAGGCACCGGTTGTCGAACGTAACTAGACTCTTTACGTCTGCGGGTTCCATTTGCCAGGTTTCACAACCGTACAACATGGTTGAACGTTCGGCTGCCGCCTAACGTATCATTTTCTCATTCTTACCGGATATCACAAGGGGTTTGTCGCAGCTGGGGTTGTCGATTCAGCGGTCTAAAGACTAACTAAGATCTCTCACGCCTTTGACTTCGCGCTCCAATCGCAACAATTCTATCTCCTGGGAGCATTCCCGTAGTTCTGCTCCTCTAAATGGTACCTTGTCTGCTGTCACTCTGTAAATGATTGTCTCGCCTCTACACCGAATTCCCAGAATTTAACCTCAAAAGACCAAACTTCCCCTTTACTAGTCATAAACGGTTTTGTTTGTTTGTTCGTTTGTCTCCTATATACTCATCCTCGTTTTCTTTACTTCTCTAACCTCAGCCATCTTCTACAGGCACTCAACTTCAAGGGCCTAGAAGTGGACGAGGCTTTGCGTCTGACGGTTCATCACTTTGGCATGCCTGTAAGTGTTCCCTCTGCACCTGATGCTCTTTTCGCATTTATTCGTATTCTCCTCTAACTGATTGGCTAGGTCGGGTGGAGGAATTCCTTTTTGATATGCTGCACAATTGCTGGATGGGTGCATTGGGGAGAGCTGCTTCATAGATTAAACGCGTCCTTTGGCCACATTGTCAACAGTATTATTACCACATTGTTTTGGTGGTCGTATCTTACTCCGACATATCATCTTGCTACCCACCGATTCGCTACACCGGCAGTTTCGTGTAGGTGTGCCAATCGAGTCAAGCTGCTACGTTTTAACACCGATGCGATTCAAGCTTGATGGCAAGCCGTCGCCTGTCTTTTAGCTGAGTACGCAAACGTTTTGGCACACCCGATGGTGTTGAAAGTGGAATCCCTGTGCTAGCTAAACTGGCTCCTCTCGTTTGTGATACGGGCACCTGGCTGGTACTTCAACTTATCTCTGTCCTTGACACGCTGGGTCAATTTATTGTCATCATTTGTTTGAACAGCTGCGCCATCCGTTTTTTTGACGTATTACTACTCAGTATCCGAAGCTTGTTCTCTAGCATTCCGCTGGCTGGCTCATATCTTACCGTTTAGTGACAGTACATTCTGAAATTAAAACCTACTCCTTGTCATTGTTCTGCTGCTATCGCTGTTGTTTGTGACTACGGGTACACTGTTTTCGTTCATCTTAGAGCGCGTTGCAGATGTAAGATACCGGTAATGAATTACAATTCATCGCGACTGACAGACGAATACGGGCTCATGAATGTCAGCTTATAATTCTGTTTTGTCTGTCATCTTGTGTTTTCGACCACGTGCGATGCGTAGTTTCGTTTCTATTAAACCCTCATCAATGTTCCTACTTTCACATGAGTATCACTCACACTGTCCAGTTGATGACCAGTTGGTTGCGGCGTTTGACCGGATTTCGTGAGTGGGCTAGAACGGTGTTCCGGATGCTATGAACTCCACTCATATGAAACAGCTGATCGTTTGACCACTTTTGTCAATCGGGAGCACATCAGTCATCGATGCGGTTCGTTAATTGCAGTTTTGCACTGGTACACAGAACCGAAAATGCACGTGAAAAATGTATTCACCCTATTTGTGCCCACATGTTTCCCTTGAGCGTATATGCCCCAACCGTATGTAGACATTCGATAAACCACGCTGTCGTTTAGCCGAATTATGTTCCTCCTTGCAGTTGGAATCCCAAGAAATTGACCGATTCCTCGAGTGTTTGGCTGATGTGTATTACGCTGTCCGTTGGCCTACCACAGCCCCAATAAGCCGCCATCAGATTCTACTCCTATTTTACTCTGTGCTTCTGCTCCAAACCAGCCTGCATAACGAGAGTGCTGCCAAATCTAGCCTTGGCAAACAAACTGTGGCCACCTTTATTAAAAACTGTCAAAGTGAGTGTGCTTCCGGCTGCCGTAACTGCGACATTTTTGCCCATCAGATAATTTTGCTGCCATCGTTTCACTTCACCTATATTCTAGAATGTTATGTTGTTAAATATCGTCATCATACTAGTTTTCCCCGTTGCCCCAACTAAAGGATGCGTTGAATCCACTTTAGTACCCACTTCTTTTCAGTGTGAGAATACTTTCATCCGCCACGTTATACATCAGGATTCCATATACATGTTTTCCCTTGTATAGGTACGAATTGCACACCACGCCTGCAACCATTCGATTCTCAACAATTACCCACGTCTCGCTATCTGACAGGTCGCTCAGACGTAGTACTTCTAGTTACGATCTTACGGTAGCTTAGGTTCCTGGATCTGCCGAGCCGACACGAAACCCCCTTCACCGTTCTAATATCACCACCGACCTGTGACGCGCACAGTTGTAAATGTGTATTCGTTGATCACCTTTCCTTGGGCACATTATCTACCATTGTTAGGTGTGGTCTCGACGAGTTCATCTTCCTAGATGGAGACCTCGCAGTCGAATATATTAGCCATCGGAAGTAGTGTCCGACCTTGTGCGGCGACGAAGCCAATTACTCTTTCAGCTTCCCGCACACATCAGCTGGTTCTCCAACGGGATACACTTTACTTACTTTACTTGCTTACTTACTCTACTTATTTACTTAATTACCTACGTTACTTACCTTTTCCCCTCCACTCCCATTCCATACTGTTTTGCGTTTCACCTCATTTTCTGGCCATCGTTTTCACAGTGACTGTTTCCACCTTACTTATTTGCTCATGTCGTAGCTATTCAGTTCGACTAAATTGTACCCTGCATATTTCGCTTTTTCCGTTTAACAGATTTTATATTCGACTCGTCGATTCCCCATCCACCTATAGCATCCCCATCCAGGGGGCTAGGAAGCGACGATGTTCCAGAGGACAGGAACGTGGTCTTCTCACATGCCAATCTTTCAGCCATCTACCGTCGCATCAAAGGTACCCCCATTGTTCCTGGTACTGATCACACACATCTGACAAGTCGCATAGCTCGGTCATTAATTTTCCCCCGCTCTCGTTCAAAGCTTGACCATTTGCATGACTTGGAAGGCGTGGATTTGCAGATGGAACTGGTCAAACCGCAACATCGTGTCGTCTTCAGCTGTGCGGTGCTTCAGGTAAGGTTTGTCAACGAACGTATCTTTCTTTCAGCAGGAGTTTTCCGGCTACTCTCGTTATCTGAGACTGCGTTGTGTATTTACTCAAAGCTCACCTATTATGAACATTGTGCCAAGGACTATTAAGGTGAGTCTTAACTCACCAGGTGGCCACAATGGACCGATGTGTCTCCTTGTACTCCGATGTCCCACGTTTCCTCCCGCATACGAAGCATCATCCTCGGTCCTCTCAACTCAACGACAGATTCTGTGCTTCGACTAATTGTTGAGAGCATCGGTCTCAGATAGAGCGGCTGAAACACCGTCCACGACCGTCCAGTTACATCCCTTTCCTTTTTCCTTTCACTACGACTGAGAATTATGGGTGGTGATCTGCGTTATCCATTTTATTGTTAAACAAAGTCATGTCTCATCAGGTCTCGTGTACCAACATCGGCACATAATCTTAACATAATGGATTTATATCCCCTTTAGCGGTTCTCCCCCTTCCAGACTGGATTTGCGGATCTACGTTCAGGAAGATTACTGAGTATCGCCCGCAGTAGCCCCGCTTTGTGGCAGTTTCACCACTCCGAGCTTCAACTTGGCGTCTGCAGTTGGTTTTAATTCTGGTTCTTCCAACACTTTCACTCATCCTATAACGTGGCACGTTATGCGTATGCCGTTCGGGTGTTATTGCAGCCCTACATTTTTGTATATCCAATTTTACTATGCGTTTTGGCTTTCTAGAGTTACTGGACTTCATTTCGCTCAACATCACTACATCAAGATTCCCTACTGTCCTGAGCCCCCTAAGTGTCACGCATTCTACCTGTGTTGCGTCGTCGATTGCCCCGAACGGATAGAACCGTTGGCTTTCTAAAGCGGCATTCAATTCTTGCAACGTAACAGCAATGCATATGAGAACTGTCCACTGAACACCTTCCTTTTGGCTCATTTCACTTGATGATTTGGCGACGTGCGTCATTACTCTAAACTATGTGATGCATGCTGGCGCATGGGGCCTTCCCAGTGGGATTTTCTTCCCATCTAACTAGACTGTGCTTGTGAGGAACAGGATATACCTTATTCGGGGAGACCTTTTGCGTAGGTTATCTACATAATTTAACCCTCTGATCTAAACATCTCGATGCATGCACCTGACCGACCTTTCCTTTGGTTTATCTCTCCTTCACAGTTGTCCAGGCGATCCAGAACTGGCGTACAAGTCGGATTCTTGCGGCAGGTTATTTTGTTCAACGACCTGGTACTTTTGGTCAAGCTAATGCGCCCGGACAAATCGCGGATACGTGGTAAACGTGACCTGCGGTTGCGCCGAGAGCTTTCCAGTCTGTTACGTGGTGCTGTGCCCAGCGGTCCTGGACGATTTCTCGTGCACAATTTTCAAACATGGCAAATAGGTGGGCATGGAACAATCGATCCAGTGCCTGTCACCACTACTGTTTTCGGGCATCTGAGCTCAACACCCTGCTTACCTGTCCGAGGGCGACAGATTAAAACGTGTCAGGAACACATTCTTCCTACTGTTCGAAATGTTTTCAAGTCAATTGCTATTCGTGGTATTCCACTATTGGGTTGTGTCATCAGACCGTTTCGAACGCAAGGTTTGTTCATGCTCTTATCCCCCCCTGTTTGCTGTTCTGCCACCCATCCGAGCATGCTAAACGCTCTCATAGACCCTCGGATTTATGAATTTATCTCCATAACGATTCATTAGAAGAGTATACCGAGGTCTCTAATGGCAATCCTGAGATTTCGTGCCCATATATTCCATATCACTTATCAGACAAACTTTGCTGCTTACCGGGTTGTCTGAATGTCACTGCACCAGTGTGCTTTCATATGGTATCATATCAACCTCTTATCCTTATAGTATTGAACCTTTGCACTGCGTGCTTCCATGCTCGCCTGTAGGATGCATTGGTATGTACTGTATTCACTTATCTTGAAGCCAATCATGCCAGTGTCGCCACTCATCGACAACTCGGTACCAACAATACATCAGTACAGGTCATTCGCTGCTATGCGACCATAAATTTAGATGTCTTCACTACTTCGGAGCAAGCAGAGGAACCTAAGTTACAACTCGATTGTCCTGAACGAACACTCTGGATCAATACTCCTTACGGTCATTAACAACAACGCTGTGTCGACAGGGTAGCATCTTTTCGACTCTCAGTGCCCCGTCGACTATATCAGGCTCTGAGCAGAAATCTTGGGAACGCTCAGTAGTCATGTTCCTTCCAAACTCTCATAGGAGGTCACGTTTTGCAAGTTGTAAGTTCGGTTTGCGCGATGCAGAGCACGAACATATGGATAACTGGGAAAGCACGGTGCTGTACCCTGGTTTCACTTCATTCTGCTTTCAACCGATTGCTTCAAATCTGTCTCAACCCAACTGCGACTGACCGCAGTTTCTCGTTTATCAACTGATGCAGTCCGACAAAGTGCACTAGCTTTGTTGAATCCCTCAGATTGGTGTTCGACCGGCTTCGTACAGGTCATAGCAGGCTCTTCAGTTGTACTTACTGGGAAGACCTGTTCCCTTTTGTTCAAAGCTATGGATTATGAACCCCGAACAGACTCTGCATTGGTGACCGTGAAACATCACTCACTCGTTGTCTATTTACATTTTAAGTGTGTGATTAAATTTCAGACTAAAATTGGCACCATCGATAGAGAGCGACACATTTGCACATAAAGAATCAAATGATACCACTCCTGTTGCGAGGCAATACAGAAATATAAATGTACAATAAAGACGGTAAATCTATCTGGGACAACCCAAGAGGGTTTGTTTATCCAGGTTTGACTGGTCCGGCCCATGATTATTGAACCGCAAGACAATATTGTCCATATAATCCAACTAGTTTTTTCCCATACAGCGTCACAACCCTTGCAGCGCGCGATTTCGCAAGCGAACACTCTATGATGGAGTGCGCTCTGACCTTTAACGAAAACAAGAAAATGGGACAACCCTGGAGAGCTCCCCTCGTTGTCGGATAAGCATCCGACAAGCCACCGTTTACCCCGGACGCAATCCCCCTTAGCGTTGGAGTATAAGGTATATATACCCTGCTGTATCAGCGTGTCCGCTTCGACAGTGACTACTAGACGTCGTTAATTACGTCACTTCGTAATGTCAAAAGTTTAGAATAAGTAGATTTCATTGATTCCAGCGTGTGCTGTTGCGTCCCCTCGCCGCCCACCAACCGTAGCCTTGGTTTATTTGCCTGATTTTGTATTGCCCAAAGCTCGTTAACCACTTACTCGGGTGCTGTCAGTTCGTCTTCCCTCCTGTTGCGCTCCACGTGGCCCAATACATGCTTGGCTCGCCTCCACGGCGGATGTTGTCTGTGACTCGTACCTTTCACTGCTTTGAAATAGTTCCCTCACCGTGTATATCCATTGCTGACGACGTGAGTCGTGGCAACTGGATTCACCGCATTTCGGTGCCCGGATCATACGCGTTCAACTGAACTAGGCCGTATGTTTGTTGAAAACATGTTCTATGCATGGTTATCTTCGAGGTTAGGTTTAATATGATGCTGGTAGTGGGATTGACCGGACCTGTCTTGCAGTTGTCAAAGTGTGATCTCCTCCCATATTTTCTGGCGGCGTTTAGTCCGCGTATCGGCTCCTCTCTACCCTGAAGTACTTCGACGAACACCTACAAACGAAAGCAGAACGCTTGGACGGGACACGCGTAGGACTGTGTATTCCGGAAAGGTGACTCAGTCCTGGTACAAGTCAATGATCGGTCGACAACCACTGATCTGCTCAGTTGCAGACTGCGAAGTGCGTACGCGTGTGTAGGATGACAGGAACTAGCGATGATCGCACACAACACCTTTACCACTTTGGGAGTACTTCGCCGTTGCTCCTCCCAACACTTACACCCCATAACCGGTTTCTTCCTCGTTTGGTCTCATCAGATAGTGATAGCCTGAGCTGGAGTGGAACTCAGGGCCTAGTGGCTCAAGGCCGACGCCTTGGTCACTATAGCAACACTTGGTGCAGCAGTAAGGAATTCAAAGTTGGATTTGATGTACCCGCTGTGTGGTCGGATTGCGACACGCAATCTGTATTGAGACCTCGGTTCACTTTGTGGTAGTCCTCGGTCATTGCGGTGTTTCTCGTCCCAACACTGACACCACTAGACCCTGAGTTCTACCCCAGTTCAGGCTACCTCCATCTGATGAGTCCAAAGGAGGACGAAACCGGTTATGGGAGATGCAACACCGAACTACCTCCAATTCGGATACGGTCCTTGTGCTCGTAATGACCGAGGCCTAATTTAAACTGAACCGAGATCAGAATAGAGATCGCATGTCGCAATCCAACCACACAGCGGGTACTTTACTTTCAATTTTGAACTCTTCACGCCTCATTTTCCTTCTTTACCATCACCATCTTGCTTTATTTTGTTATGATAGAGGGACCAGATTGTAGCTTGCAATAATGATGCTTTTACTTTTGATGGTTTTGTGATGAACACATTGCTTTTACTGAAATCATCGGTCGGCACGGTTCTTTCCTCCTTGAAATTGCTTTCACTCGTGACCCAGTTATCGACGCCCATTATTTTTGTTATCCCGTTTGCTCAATGCTTACTGCGATTCACAGGCGTGTCTAGATTCGCTTTACCATTGTCTCCAAGTAGTCCCACTTCATCTGGTTTTCCTAGGTTGTTATTATCGGCCATATTATCTGCTGAAACCGAACTAGTTAACGCGGGCGCTTATGGTAGCAAAGCGGGTCTGTTGTTCATTTCTGAGTCGACCATTTGACTCAGAGATTGGCTGTTGGCTCGGTTGCGTACCAGTTCTGATTAACTTCCAATTCTGTTTGTCGATTTGATCTGAATTATCCAGTGTGATCAATTTATCTCCTCATATCCTCCATGTTTTCTCTTTCCCACTACCGCTCATGCATAGAGTGTTGTTTTGGCTTGGAAATATGGAAGCATGACAATTCACAATCGGAGTCGTCTCATGGCAACGCATCTTGCGACGCTCCTTGCGATTCTGGTTGTTGGCAATTGGTTGCCGTTTTGGCAGCGCTGTCACATGCGGATTACGGTCATTTCCTGTCTCTTTTATTGGATTCTTTGCGTGAGACACATCTTGTTCACCAGGAATTGATGGCGCGCCGAAATTCACTTGCAGTTGGCCATATGTAATCGTCGGACGCCGACAACAGTCGCATTGTACATACCATGCTTTCTTAGATTTTCTCTTCAGTCTAACGCTTACTAGGTTTTATTTTCCTCCTATTTAGGCGTGATATGTTATGTTCAACCCCTTTGTTTTCTTTCCGTCTGTTTTTGTTTGATGAACCGTTTCGTTCGTAGTTTTCTACCTCTTTCTGTGATGTTAACGCTGCACATACTGTTCATGCTGGGCGCGTGCGTTATACTCTGTCTTTCTCCTCCATCCTTATCATCTCAACTACCTTCTTGTCTTCGCATTCGTTTTATATCCTTTCATTATTATCAGCGGCAATCATGTACTATATCATTTCATTGTTTCTTGGCCACTACAGAGAATTGTGTTAGCTATTTTTACCTTAGATGCAAACAGATCCAAGTTTTCTCTAAAAACTCAACAAACCCACAGATTCTTCTCTATTAGGAGGTCCATTCATCAGTAATAACCTATTCGCATCGTCTTTACAGGACCTACATCCTTCATCTCATGATTTCCAAACACTTGGGCTTTCTCGCTAAGGACTGCGGCTAAACGATTGCTAATCTCATTTACATTGCTGATGTACCACCGTCTCGCTCCATTACAATTGTATGTAAACGTTTTCCAATTTCGCGCCGTTATTCTCTTTTTCTCGCATTTGCGACACTTTCCGCTGTATTGTTGGAGATCTGACACAGTTATGACTCACCCTGTTTTGTACGAGTTAATTTTCGCCGGACCGACGTTCCACACAACATTGTGCAACCAGCACACTCTGCTTTTCAGCGCCTTCTGAACCAGTGGCTGTCGAAATATCCAGTACGCGATTCAAATTCGTTTACAATCTATGCTTCAGTTCTTCTACCAAGTTACGTGCTGTTCTCCGTATCACAGCCCGTTTCCTGAAATTTATCTCCCAACGAACCATGTTTGGATTTTCGGTGTATTTTTTCATGAGCGATTTTGATCGCTACGATAGTGACGCACAATCTGTCCCATCGTTGCTCCGTGTTTCTATTGGGCTATTCATGACTGCATTTAATCAAATAGTAGCACTATTTTGTACTTCCCCGCCTTCTTGCTCATTGCTGTTATACAGTGTTACAATGCGGATCTGTATCTGATCTGTCCCTGCGCTTTACTCTTCTCCGTTCTTGTATATCCGTGGTTATCACTCTTTCGGTTTGCTCTCTGTTCGTATCTGACCTATGTCTATCCGAACGGCATACAGGTTCATTCGAGATTTCGGCAGGACTAGTTCCTATATTTGGGCAGGTCATCATCACCAACAGCAGTACATCAGCCATTTGAACTGATGCTTCGCTGCCATACAACCATGAGGACCTATGAAATAAAGAATAAGATGGAGAGAAGGGGGACTTACCTGAAAACCTTAATGCCCTAAGCAAACATTCCGGGTCAAGGCGCCTGCACCTTGTGTAGACTACATACCGTCACAAACATCTGGCTATCGTGCAAAGATAAGGTGGCAGGTGGGTAGGTGGAGGTTAGCGAAGCAACTCATCACGCAACAAGGCATGTCACATGCCGATTGTCAGTGAATGGTTATTGTAACTACTGCAAAACTTTCTACACCTGGTGACATCTATTTCCGACTTTCTTTGTCACTATTTCTGTGCTCATCCATAGGACGACTGCACATACACAGAAGCCACAACTGGTGCAATCTACTTTTATTGCCTACCGCAACTCCAATGTATGCTCAAACCAGTTACATCGAGAAGCGCGTGAGTAGGGATCCCGATTGTCTCCACCAACGCGCACATCACACGTAGGTACATCCGTGTGACAGTGCCCCCGTGTTAGCATCCGATGAGACGTGCGCCCTACATGCAGTACGAGGAAATGCACATATGGTACCATCTGATTTTCTTTGTTGTGTGCACTGCATAGAAATGAACGGATGCTGGACAAGTTTCTCCTCAGTGGTGCATAGAACATTGGCTGTATCAAATTCCTTTCCTGGACACAGCCACTTTATGAGTAGAGCGCTTCCACTGAGATTGTTCTGTGTCATCGCATCACCGTCTATCTATCTTTCTTGGATGAGGACGTCGGCAGCCTTGATCTTCACTGCAGATTGGCCACTCAACGCGATTGAAGAAGGACATAATGGATTTAGCCAATGTTAGATCGCGTTATGTTTTGGGGCTGAAGTGTTGGGATTAGACAGAGTAGAGATTAGAGATATTGCTCAACAGTGCGAATCTGGTTTGGTTCCCACATGCGATCCATTGTTTTAGGTCTTAAACTCGTATATCGTTTTCTGATTAATCTTCTTCGTACCCTCACTAAATTGTTCCCCGTTTGGTTGCTCGGTGCGTTATTGATCAATTAGATTAGGCAACCACATAGCGAGGGCTGTCAATTAGTTGTCCACGCACTATCAAGCGTAACTCATTTACCCCGCAATAACGATTTATTTACATCACCTTGACACCGGCACACTTGCTAGACTGTGTCCACAACTGCTTTCGGTTTCCCTCCGTACACCTTAGACCATAGTTACCAATAAGTTGCTACATTTTAAGACAGAATTATTGGGCTTTTAAATAAATAACTAAATTGTCTATCTTGGACTCGTAAATAACTCCCGTGAAATCAGAAGTTACCGATTGCACGAAAAATATTCTTTTCAATAAATCGCATCAAGCATATACAGTTACAGCGCGAAATTAAAATAAACTGATTCACCAATGAAAGCTGGGTCTAAATTAGAAAGACTACGCAATCTATTATGAATATTACTTATTTATTTATTAGCTTGGCATGGTAGGTCATTGATCGATGTCTTAATCAGTCGAATCAGGCCGTTCGCACAAGTCACACTAACATGGGCGAGGGAAGACAGACCAGCAGTGGCAGGCCGCTGGTCGCTTGTCATGTTCACTTGTATCTGTGGTGCGGAATACCTACGACCAAGTGATTGCCCAAACGGATCGCTGAGCACTGACCTATATCGCTATGAAAATACCCCATAAGGAACTTCAATAGTTCTATTCTTGGCCATTTGGTTGAAACGTGACACCACATTCAATCAAATAATTCATTCCAAGTCATATATGCGATCCCGAAAAGATACTCCAAAGGGCTCAGAAAACGCCTGTTAACCACAACCGAAGCCATTGCTATCAGGGTTTTTAAGTCAAAATTACGCAAACAACGTATGCTGGTGCAAGCATTGATCGTACTCTGACCACACACGCATTCCGGTGAGAATTCCCCACTTTAACATGACTGGCGACCAGCGTTTGTCACCGCTGATCTGTCTGCCCTCATCCATTTGAGTGTGTTTCCTTCGAGTGGCTTAGTTCGACTAACTGAGACATTGACTATGCGATGCCAACCCAATAAATTATGTAGATTTCGTGGTCCTTCCGATTGAAACCTAGATTTCATTTGCCATTCGTTTTTCTAATTTTTTTATGTAACCCTAAACGTCTGATGAGATTTATCGACAAGTATATTCTTCGGCTTTGTCAAGTCAGAGCAGGTCGGTTTGCTCGCATTTCCTCACCCCAGTAAATGACCTTGACGTGAAACTGGTGGCAGTAGGTTTTATCCACTTGTCCCCTTTAATCGCCAATTGCTTCCTATTTTGTTCCACCTCACGCAGTTTCTGAGTGTGAGATTAGCGCTTGGAGACAAGTTAAATTGGGCATTACTAGTGACCGTCGTGTCTGCGGTACTGTCCTATTTTACCCTCGTTCTTCTGACATTTTTGTTCCTCAAACGGTTGCATATCTTGTGGGAGAAAACCACTATTATCTCATAGCAGCCGTAAACACGCGTTCCATGAGAAAGAAAAGTGCCACCAGCCAAGCTACTACGTTGACCGATGCCATAGCGGTCACAATAAGCGCTGATAATCCCACTCCCTGCAGTACACAGGACAACATTGAATGCTCCGTATTGCTAGACAGAATAAATGAAGTCGAAAGAGCTGTGAGAGATTTGCAAGAAAGCTTGGCTGCTGTTAGGCCTCTGCTTCCTATTATGGATTCACATTTCCGCTTACTTAACCCACTGCCTAATCCGTCATCCGACCACGTACATATCACTGGTAGCGTTGTTTACGTGATTCCCAGTGAAGTGTCTGAACGTATTATCCGTGCAAGTAATGTTATGGTGTTTAATGTCCCTCTGAAGAAGCTGAAACACTTATTACTAGACACCATCGGGCTTCAAAATGAAGAGTGCCTTGCGGTACGTCTAAAGAAGAAGAGCTTAAAGCATACGTGCCCGGTGCTACTGAAATCTAAAAACACTGTGCTAAATTGTTAATGCGGAGTATTTCTATGAGGTCAGATAAGATACCACTTGAGCAGATACATACGCCTGTTCCAAAGAAACAGAGGAACACACCTGACCCCGCGCAAATTTCTTTCAGAACTGTCCAGCGTATCGATACTTCGGGCAGTCGTCTGATTTTTGACACTTTCCATGCACAATTTGGTCGGTCTTTCTTGCGCACATATTTTATATTCTTCTTCCCTTCACTGTTGACCACGATTGGGTCGATCTCCTGAGGTGACGGATTTTAAGCTTCCAATGCTAATAATTATACATATGCAACGCGAAGTGCCATTGGTACCCTGGCGATAAAAATGTGCTTTACTTACAATACCAGCTGATGGTATGGGCTAAGTGGCTTGATTGTCCACACTGTATACACAGAAAAACATCCCTACAGATGTGTTGCATTGGTGATGGCTTATTTGCTTTAAAACGCACACCGGGCGCACCGCCAGATGGGGCATGGAAGTGCGAGTGAAATCCATCGAGAGAGAATAACCTGCATGGAAGCAGGCCCCCAGGAGGCGGTCCCAGTAATGGTCGTTTTACTTAACTTATACGTTTTATTTATCTACACTTGTTATCTTTCAAAACCTCACAATCCTCCAGAAATATCTAACCGACCAATTACCCATGTCCGCCAAAAAGCTTGAGGACTGCTTTGGAAAGTTCGAGA